ATGGATGGATGTTGGATGGATGGATGGATGGATAATAGATGGATGATGGATGGATGGATGATGGATGGATGGATGATGGATGGATGATGGATGGATGGATGGATGGATGGATGATGGATGATGGATGGATGGATAATAGATGGATGATGGATGGATGGATGGATGGTGGATGGATGGATGATGGATGAATGATGGATGGATGGATGTTGGATGGATGGATGGATGGATAATAGATGGATGATGGATGGATGGATGGATGATGGATGGTGGATGGATGGATGATGGATGAATGATGGATGGATGGATGTTGGATGGATGGATGGATGGATAATAGATGGATGATGGATGGATGGATGATGGATGGATGGATGATGGATGAATGATGGATGGATGGATGGATGGATGGATGGATGGATGGATGATGGATTGATGGATGGATGGATAATAGATGGATGGATGGATGATGGATGGATGATGGATGGACGATGGATGAATGATGGATGGATGGATGGATGTTGGATGGATGGATGGATGGATAATAGATGGATGGATGATGGATGGATGGATGGATGGATGATGGATTGATGGATGGATGGATAATAGATGGATGGATGATGGATGGATGATGGATGGATGATGGATGGACGATGGATGAATGATGGATGGATGGATGGATGGATGGATGGATAATAGATGGATGGATGATGGATGGATGGATGGATGGATGATGGATTGATGGATGGATGGATAATAGATGGATGGATGGATGATGGATGGATGATGGATGGATGATGGATGGACGATGGATGAATGATGGATGGATGGATGGATGATGGATGGATGATGGATGGATGGATGATGGAAGGATGGATGGTGGATGGATGGATGATGGATGGATGATTGATGAATGATGGATGAATGATGGATGGATGATGGATTATAGATAATTTCTATACAAGAGCTACAAGTCTGTATAATTCTACTACTTTAGTTTTATTTATACTGCACTGTATACTGTAGTGTATTATAGTGTACTGTATACTGTACTGTACTGCACTGTATTGTACTGTACTGTAGTGTATATACTGTACTACAGTACATTTCAATTTACTGTGTATACTGCAGTGTACTCTACTGTACTGTATACTGTACTGTAATGTACTCTATTGTATTAGACTATACTGTACTGTATACTGTACTACAGTGCATTTTACTGTAGTGTACTGCAGTCATGAAGTAGTGGAAATGAAATGTGTTTTATTTTGAAACTTTTAAGCCCTGACAGTCATTTCCTGTGGGTCTCTCCAGCTTGACTCGGGGCTCGGTACTTCAGCTGGTCCTTCTGAATGAGCATGGTAGTTCGGTTCTGGGGACTTGACAGGGACACGGGTCTGTTCGGGTCTGGTCGGGTCTGGTCGGGTCTGGTCGGTTCGGACCCAGAAGCTGCTTGTTTTCAGAGGAAAACAACTTTAATGAACAGAGAAACTCTCAGAGATTTGGAGACAGTTTGAAGCAGCAGCATGGATCAGGACTGGGAGGTAGTTTTATTATCTTATTTCTTAATATATTATAAATAAACAATAAGTTCAGTTTATACAACTTTAAAACTGTAGTTTAAAGAAAGAGATCGAGCTAATTATTTAATAAACCTTGTTTTTTAGGCATGAAACAAACAGTAAAAACATCAAGTTGATGTTGGAAACAGTTTAATTCTTGCTTTATTATAATTTAAATATTTATTTTAAAACTGTTTTAAATTATACTTAATTTCTTTAGTCCTTTATTATGCTTAAGCTGAGAATAATGGTTATAAAGATAAATTACCTGTTTTAACTGTTCAATAATTACACTTTTGCGGCTCCATCTGCTTTTCTAGATGTTCTAATTACTGTAAATGTGAGGCCTTAATCTGTAAAAGATGAAGCAAAACATTAAACTGTTTTTGTTCTTTAGTATGAGTTTGTTCTTTATACTGAAACAGCTGAAAAAGTGAAGTTTTGTGGGAAAAGTTCTTCAAAAAAACTCCAGTTTCTTTGTTTCAAAGCTCAGTTTGTGTGTTGATCCATGTTTCAGTCAGAGGTTTAAATGTTTTAATGTTTTCAGACAAACATTTAGAGGTTTTAATGGTTGTTTCTGTGGCATTAATGAAAGGATTTGGGTTAAAGCACAGCGTGGGCACATGAAAACAGCAGAATGGTTACATTTCATTAACGAGGTATAATTGTCATGATTTGACCCGGACCCTGCTGTTGGACACTTCTGAGGTTTGGACCAACTCGTTACGTCATCTGGTGACAGTTGAGTCTTTATCTTTTCAACTTACTTCCCAAATACGTCAGAAGAAACGAGTTAAATGTTTCAAACTCTGATGTTAGATTAGTCTAAAGCAGGGCTGTTCAACTGGTGGCCCGCCGGCCACATCTGGCCCACGAGTGACCAAAGTTCGGCCCGCCAATTGGTTCGTTCATCTCTTCAGCCCAAATCCCTGATTTTCTACTTTAATTAGGTTCTTTTAGTTAAACATGTTTGGTGTCTACAGAAACATCAGAATCTTGTCTACAAGCTGGTAAAAAACATTTCTATAAACACTCAAAACAGTTAAACCTACAAGCAGTTGAAGATAAAACTATCAAAGTGGAAATAAAGTTGGTTTAAGTCAGTGATGTCAAAATATTATTTGTGTTAAACAGGAGGCAGAATGTGTTCTTTTTGTTTTTTATGTTGTTTAATTATCACTCCTTTCATAGGGTTCTGTATGTTGTATTCATAATTAAATGCAGTAAAATAAACTCTTTCAAAGGTAACAGATGTTTGTAATACTTGGTTTATTTACATAATGACTTTAATTGCTGGATGTTCGGCCCCTCAGCTGCAGTTCAGTTGAGTATCTCTGTTTTAAAGTTTAGATTCTGGACTTTTAACCCAAACGTTCAGCTGATGTGAGCCTTCAGTTTTTGGCGAGCCCACATGGGTCCACTCAGGGTCAAACCTCCGAGGGACGTCTCTACAAGCCTGACCCGTGTTCTTGTGTTCAGTCAAGCTGTGCCTCTCGTTCTCACTGAATCCCAACTCCCCCCCCCCCTCGGCAGATGTTGTGAAACTCTCAGACTGTATCGGCGGATCCTGGCCCCTCTGGGGAATGTCTCAGCTCGTGCTGGGCCGGGTGGACCTGCGTCATCCTGCTCCGGCTGGGTTAAGAGGCGGTGCGGATTGTGCAAAGAGGTTACGAGGGTTTATTAAAACAGCGTGCKGTGGTCAGGGAGAGCCGTGGAATTGTGAAATGTGGTGTGGATTTCTAACTGAAAGCATCTGCTGGGCTTTTTCCTTCTCCTCCGTGCGCTGTTGGGTAACAAACGTTGATGTGTTTCGCTCTCCGTGTGTCTCCGCAGACTGGGAGGGCCTGACGCGGAGCAGGGGTCAAAGGGCGTCGGCGAGGGGRCCATCTGTTGCGCCGGATCCCGCCATGCCAGAGGAACCCAACAAGGACGCCACGAGAGCGCCGGCGAACTCGGAGAAGAGCGGCGGCACCGAGCAGGCCGCGACCGCCGCCGCGACYGCGGTCAACATCCCCCGGGTCAACGAGGTGCAGCTGACCGCGGCCACCGGGGGCGCCGAGCTGTCCTGTTACCGCTGCACCGTCCCCTTCGGCGTGGTGGTCCTGATTGCGGGCATCGTGGTGACGGCGGTGGCCTACAGCTTCAACTCCCACGGCTCCACCATCTCCTACTTCGGCCTGGTGCTCCTCTCGGCCGGCCTGGCGCTGCTGGCCTCCAGCGCCGTCTGCTGGAARGTCAGGCTGGAGAGGAAGAAGGAGCGGCGGCGGGAGAGCCAAACCGCCCTGGTRGCGAACCAGAGGAGCATTTTCAGTTGAGGCCTTCGCTGGAGCCGGCGCCGCAGATGGGTCCTCAGGTGCCGTTTCATGGCGAACCGGCTGCGATCACGTAGAAACCACGAAGCTGTGAAAACCCCTGACCACAGACCTCTCACGGCCCAGGACTCCCAGCTTTGAAGACACGGCCAGGGGTTTATTTGTCAAATGGACATCGAGCATCTGGCGAGCTGGGAGCGCAGCCAGGAGGAATGAATCACAATTAAGATGAATTAGCAGCGTGCACAGCGGCGTGCAGGAAGTACCCCATTAATCTGCCGCAGCGTGTGGCAGCTTTGATTGTAACGGCTCAGATTAGGAAGGCTGGAATCCCAGGGAGGAGGACGGAAACCAACTGAAGGGTCCAGGAAAGTTATTCACACCTCATTTATCGCACATATTTGTTAACGAACTCTCACATTTAACGGTGCGGCTGCGTTGGGAGGATGGTACGTGGACTTCAGATCAGAGGGCACATTATTTAACCGTAAAYATGTATTCTCTTAAAGGGCCTGTGACGTCAGATTTTTTGTAATAAACATGAATGCATTTTTTGGAAAGATAACATTGATAAAATGCTGCAAAACAAATTTCACRTCCCTGAGATGAACGGTTGTTGAGATATTTGCATGTGAAGAAACAGGAAGTGATGTCAAAGGGGAATGTCTGCATGTAAACAGAGCGTTGCTACAAAAGCTAACAACACAGACTGTAGAGAAGAATCTGATGTTTCTTTAGATTATTTTAGTCGCAATCAAAAAGATGAAGAAGAGTTAAAGTTTAAATAATTTTTTTAATAAACAGAGACCAGCGAGTTAATTTTATTAATGAGTTCCCCTTTGATGTCACTTCCTGTTTCACTTTTTCTGAGCCAAATTCAGAAGAAAATAGGCCAGTTATGTGACAAAATGGTTTAAAAATGTGTATTATGCCAATTTTCTTAGGTATAAAGATGTTTTCTTTGACTTTTTTATTTGAAGTATAGGCATGTCACAGGAACTTTAAAGCACTTTGATCCTTCATCACATTTCATACTAAACTCCATCTACAGACAAATTAAAAACATTGTAGCAAAGTTGGAGGAGTTGAAACATTTAAAAGTTAATCTGTTGTATGTTTTAAATGATTCAATAAAGTCAGTATTTCCTGAAAATGATTCAAACTTCAGCACAAAATGGAATCTATTGTAGTTGTTGGTCCAAACAAAAATGCTCTGAGAAATAAGACTGATGAGATGAGAGAATTTAACTCCTTTTTCTTCCATCCTTGGTTAATTTTGGGGGAAAATAATTTTCTTTTTAAAAACAATTGAAAATATGGGGCACAAAGTGTAAAATGAAATGTTTAAAAAAATTAGAAGAAGTGTTAGCAGAAGTTAGAGTCAGATAACCAGGATGATGTCATCATCCTGCGACAAACATCAACAATGGCCACAGCTAGCCAYKACTAGCCGCTGCTAAYGCTGCTTAAGTTTATATTAAAATCTAAATTCCAAATGTGTTCATAAAAACAATCTGTGGTCCCTGTGGTCCAGCGGTTTGAAGTGCAGCTCAGACACCAGACAGAACTGCAAGTTTGATRTCTTGTAGGGAAGCTTTAGCTGCGTTGGAGCTAGCGGTTGCTAATGTCTCAGGATGATGATGTYATAACATGAGCCAAGCACCAACAGCAAAGGCTGCGTTCCATTCATAAATACCTAAATGTGAACTTCAACAWTTAAGGTTTAACTTTTACATCTAGATTTAGGATTTAATACTTAAATTTATCTTTTTAACATTTAAAATTAAATAAGCTAAATAACAATAAAAAGTTGCAGTTGGCCCGTTGGCTCATTACTCAGTAATTACTCAATAGTTACTCAGTAGTTACTAAGTCTTTCCTCAGTAGTACTTAGTAGTTACTCAGTATTTACTCAGTTGTTACCAAGTCATTCTTCAGTAATTACTCAGTAGTTACTGAGTCATGAGTCATTCCTCAGTAGTTACTCAGTAATTACTGAGTCAATACTCAGTAATTACTCAATAGTTACTCGGTAGTTACTGAGTCCTTCCTCGGTAGTTACTAAATCATTACTCAGTAGTTACTGAGTCCTTCCTCGGTAGTTACTAAATCATTACTCAGTAGTTACTGAGTCCTTCCTCGGTAGTTACTAAATCATTACTCAGTAGTTACTGAGTCGTTCCTCAGTAAYTACTCAGTAGTCATTCAGTAATTACTGAGTCGTTCATCAGTAGTTATGCAGTAGTTAATTACTGAGTCGTTCCTTAGTATTCATCAGTAGTTACTAAGTCATTCCTCAGTAGTCACTCAGTAATTATTGAGTCATTCTTCAGTAGTTATTCATTAGTTACTGAGTCGTTCCTCAGTAATTATTTGGTAATTACTAAGTAGTTACTGAGTCATTCCTCAGTAGTTCCTCAGTAATTACTAAGTAGTTACTGAGTCGTTCCTCAGTAATTATTTGGTAATTACTAAGTAGTTACTGAGTCGTTCCTCAGTTGTTCCTCTGTAATTACTGAGTCGTTACTCAGTAATTATGCAATAGTTACTCAGTGGTTACTGAGTCATTCCTCAGTAGTCATTCAGTAATTACTGAGTCATTCTTCTGTAATTACTTAGTATTTACTGAGTTGTTCATCAGTAGTTACGCAGTAGTTACTCAGTCATTCCTTAGTATTCATCAGTAGTTACTAAGTCATTCCTCAGTAGTTACTCAGTAATAACTGAGTCGTTACTCAGTAATTACGCAATAGTTACTCAGTAGTTACTGAGTCATTCCTCAGTAGTCACTCAGTAATTACTGAGTCATTCCTCAGTAGTCACTCAGTAATTACTGAGTCATTCCTCAGTAGTCACTCAGTAATTACTGAGTCATTCCTTGGTAGTTACTCATTAGTTACTGAGTCGTTCTTCAGTAATTATTTGGTAATTACTAAGTAGTTAACTGAGTTGTTCCTCAGTAGTTCCTCTGTAATTACTAAGTAGTTACTGAGTCGTTACTCAGTAATTACGCAATAGTTACTCAGTAATTACTGAGTCATTCCTCGGTAGTTACTCATTAGTTACTGAGTCGTTCCTCAGTAATTATTTGGTAATCACTAAGTAGTTACTGAGTCGTTACTCAGTAATTACGCAATAGTTACTCAGTAGTTACTGAGTCATTCCTCAGTAGTCACTCAGTAATTACTGAGTCGTTCCTCAGTAATTATTTGGTAATTACTAAGTAGTTACTGAGTCGTTCCTCAGTAGTTTCTCAGTAATTACTAATTAGTTACTGAGTCATTCCTCAGTAGTGACTCAGTAATTACTGAGTCATTCCTCAGTAGTCACTCATTAGTTACTGAGTCGTTCCTCAGTAATTACTTGGAAATTACTCAGTAGTTACTGAGTCGTTCCTCAGTAGTTATCGGTTTTTGTGTACTTTATTGTAAAGTGTTTCCATCTGTTTAAATACCTGTTTTTCCTCCTGCCATCATCAGGTACTGAAACATTTAAATTTTGCTCAGTAAAAAAGTAGCTGAACTCTGCTGTTTGACCCTTTTGGGGTTGAAAATAGCCTGGACATGGAGGTATATTTATAGGCAGCATTTGCGTTGCTATGCATCCGTGTGACACCAGACACTACAACTGAAAGGTTTCCCTGCGTCAGAGTAGAACCTACAACACGGCCTGTCACTGCCGGGAGATCACCGGGCCTCGGTCCCGTTGGATCGCTGACACATTTATGAGACACATGACACAGTGAGGCGTCTCCTGTCGGCCTCGCGGCTCGGAGGAGGCCGGGCCGGAGCTGGAAAAAGCAGAGACTTGATATGAGGTTTGACAGGTGCTCACCACCAGCCTCCGCTGGCACCTCCGTGTGCGTCACTTTCTCTGCTCCACATGGCTGTCATTCCAGCCAGAGCCAGGCTGCTCAGCTAATTTATCAATAAACAGGAGGGAGCCCAGGGGGCACACGTCCCCACCGTGACCAGGGGGCAACACAGTTTACTGTTACAGCTACACAAATCTGTTTCAATACAAACATGAGACAAGTACTGATGATGAAAACAGAAAAGTCCAATGACGAAGTAGAGACTTTTTACTCTCGGTGCTTGAAGACTTTTTGTTCAAAGCCTCAATAAGCAGAGCTCTGCAGGCGTCTGGCTGCGTCCACGCCTCTGAGTGAAACAGCTGCAGCTCCAAGAAGCTCAGACAGATGTGAGCTCTCTGAGGGGCTGAAGGGGCTGAAGGTCCTCCGTCTTCATTGGTTCATGTCTGCAGGYCGCTTTGATTCGACTGCCTCAGGTTGGATTTTTCTTCTTTTATTTAAAAAAGAACAAACACTGAGCTGGTTAAATCTAAATCAGCTTCATGCCTCGTGTTTTTCACATCTAAGATAAACATTAACGATAACTATTACAAACACTTTACACTGTTATATTTACATTACACTATTACACACTATTACACTATTACACTGTTACATTTACATTACACTATTACACACTATTACACTATTACACTGTTACATTTACATTACACTGTTACACACTATTTCACTATTACACTGTTATATTTACATTACACTATTACACACTATTACACTATTACACTGTTACGTTTGCATTACACTATTACACACTATTACACTGTTACATTTACATTACACTATTACACACTATTACACTGTTACATTTACATTACACTATTACACACTATTACACTATTACACTGTTACATTTACATTACACTGTTACACACTATTACACTATTACACTGTTATATTTACATTACACTATTACACACTATTACACTGTTACATTTACATTACACTGTTACACACTATTACACTATTACACTGTTACATTTACATTACACTGTTACACACTATTACACTGTTACATTTACATTAAACTATTACACACTATTT